ATTCACCTCCAAGTTTAAGACACAACTATCATCACCACCACCACCATCATCATCATCTTTCTCTTTTTCTTCTTCGTCATTATCCTCATTATCAACACCATTAACAAATCATCATTATCACCATCATCTTCCTCTTCTTCTTCTTTTTCTTCATCATCATCATCATTATCAACACCATCAATAAATCATCATCATCATCACATCAGATCATCATCAATAAAAAACATCGTCGTCACCATCATCATCACCATTCATATCGTCTTCATCAGTACTATCGTCATCATCACCATCATCATTTTCACTACCACCATCATCATCATCAACATAACCACCATCATCATCATCATAACCACCATCATAATTATCATCATCAGTACCGCCACTACAATCATCACCATCATCATCACCTGATTAATCACATAGATTAAGGCTCTCTCTCGCCTTCTCATTTGCACTTTGCTTCCGAAACCGAGACCCACCATCAATATGACCACCATCTTTGTCTTCGTCGTCATCATCTTCGTCATCATCATCAACCTCATCATCATCAGCCTCATCATCGTCCTCATCATCACCATCAGTTTCCCCATCATCACCATCAACTGTACCACTACTACTACTACTCTTGTCATTTTGTTAAAATCAAAAATCTTAAACTTGAAATTAACTAAAGCCGAATGTGCAGTGATTTTCATCAATAATTTGCACTTCTGATAGTCTTAATCCAATTTATATATATATATATATATATATATATATATATATATATATATATAAAGCAATCATATTTTAAAACAATATTATTATTATTGTTAATTATATTATTTTTATTGTTATTATTATTATTATTACGGTTTATTTCCAGTTTATCGCGAGGACTTTGAAGTTAGAATGACTAAGTGGCTTAAAAAATGGATTTATTTAATAAGATTGATGTGTTATGTGTGTGTGTGTGTGTTTGTGTGTGTTTGTGTGTTTGTGTTTGTGTCTATTACTAATTTTTTCACTCTCTTTCTTCACTTTCTCTCCTTTTCTTATTCTCAAATACACATTTTCAAACATAGATACATAAGCACATATACATCTATCCATCCATCCATCCATCTATTCATCCATACATACATATAAACATACCTACAACTATACATACACACACAAACAAACAAACAAACAAACAAGCATACAAACAAACATACAAACATACAAAGCAAAACTTATTTGCATACAATTAATCTTAGATGAAGCGAAAGAGTTTGAGTAAGGGTCATGTATGTATTGAACTAGGTGTGGTTGTATCCTTACTGATAATGTTACTACTACTACTACCACCACTATTACTACTACTACTTCTTCTACTACCGCTACTGCTGCTACTACCACTACTACTTCTACTACTACTACTACTAAAACGCTTGTATAAGTAATAATGAACCAAAGCAGCAGAAGTGTTAGTAGTAATAGTAAAGGAAGTAGTAGTAGCAGCAGCAGCAGCAGTAGTAGTAATAGCAGCAGCAGTAGTAGTCGTAGAAGTAGTAGTAGTAGTAGTAGTAGTAGTTAAAGTGCTGCTAAAACTACTTGGTTTAGTATTATTGTGAAGAATTAACCAAGCTGACAGTCATATGTTTCAGTATATCCGTTCTATTCGTACCATATGCAAATGGGTCATTAGCCTTGTGTCAATATCATTATCATCATCTTCTTCGTCGTCATCGTCGTCATCGAAACGAAACGAAACGAAATTTCGTAGTCGTCCTCCTCATCATCGTCGTCATTGCGGTATTTGAAATTTTTCTATCTTTCTGGATTAATCGTTCTCATGGATAAAACGCATCAACATCATCTTCATCATCGTCATCATCTTCATCATCCTCATCATTATTAATTCCATTGTCACCATTTACGTCATCATCATATTAAAATACCGTCCAAACCCATATCAACATAATCTTCTTAATCATCGTTATCATCATTATCTTCATCATTTTCTTGTTGTCATCTTCATCACCATCATCATCAACTTGTTGATATGTTCATCATCATCGTCATCAACTTGTCGTCATCGTCATGTTGAAATATGATGGAGAGGTGTGACTGACTAAATACATAACCCTCCACGCTGATTTCTACATCAGCATATTTGATCAAAATTATCTGTATGTGTGTGTGTGTGTGTGCGTGTGTATGTTTATATGTGTGTGTGTGTGTGTGTGTGTTTGATTGTATGTTTGATTGTATGTTTGCTTGTATGTCTGTTTGTATGCATAACAAATTTCTACACCATTATATGTCAGTTCATCCTACACGCCATTTCTCGCTGTTGCTATGATTAAAAATTCCTTAATACTTTTCTCTTTGACGTTAATTCATCTTGTATGAAATATACAATACACTAGCACATACACAAATATACAAACTCACACACACACACACACCGCACGCGCACACATTAAGCATACATGCACATACACATACACACATATTCACGCATAAATGAACGCAGCTTACTTATGTAAACATACAGATACAAATACAAACACACACATCCATACAAGCACAAAAGTGAAAAAATACAAACAAGCACAGAAACACACATACATACACACACACACATACACACACACACATACACACACACACATGTATTAAACGCTCTGTCCGTCAAATAGGGGCGGTGATTTATGACCTATTCTTAAGAATTTTATAAAACATTTAACATTACAATAAGTGCTTGCATACAAATGTTCTGGACGGAATTTTGTATTTTGTATGTTTTTGTATTATGTATTTTTTGTATTATGTATTTTTTGTTGTTGCTGCATTTTTTGTGACATTTTCACACACACACATACATATAATACAAAGAACAAACAAACAAACATACATAAACACAGAAACTCATAATACAAACACCCAGACATTTGAAAATCGAACAAGTGGGATACAAAGGCAGACAAAAACAGAGAGTCAAAGAGAGAGAAAGAGAGAGAGAGAGAGAGAGAGAGAGAGAGAGAGAAACAGACAGACAAGATGCAAGAAACACACACACACTCACACACACACACACACACACACACACACACGTAACCTTAATAGCAATTGCACGGTGCATTTAACACGGAGGGCACTAAATCATATAGGGGAGGGTGTTGATAAACAGATGCACATTAGTACGACCCCGCCACTCTTGCGAATAAATTAAAATATACAAAACTATAAATTTGTATGTATGTATGTATGCTTGTTTGTTTGTTTGTGTTTGTTCGTTCGCTCGTTCGTTTGTTTGTTTATATAGTTGTATATATGTATGTTTGTATGATTGATTGCATGTTCATGTTTTTGTATAATTATTTGTATAAATGTTTGTAACAGTTTTCTTTGCAAAGACTGCATATTTTTATTTATTTATTTCATTATGTGTTTCTTCCCTGGAGGTGCTGGAGATAAATACCATTGTTATTTATAATTATCAAGTTCACGTGCATGCTTAATTATTATAGTTGCGAGTTTGTATATTTGTATGGTTGTTTGTATATTTGTTTGTACATGTTTTTACATGTTTGTATATATGTATGTTTTGTTTTTTCTGTATTATATATCAGTGCATGTTTTTGCATATGTTGTCTAACATTCTTTGTATTTTTTTATACTTTTATCAGAGAATACGTGTGCGTGTGTGCTTATGTATGTGTGTGTGCGTGTGCGTATGTACGTGTTGGCAACCATTCTTCCCATCATGAAAAATGCATAACATAGGTTATATATAACTCTAAGTGCTATCAATCTTAATCTCATCTCTACACTCCATAAAGCATTTGGGTTAACATGGGGTCAATTGCGTTTGACCTCTGACCTTTTTTATGTTTGCCCCGGTCTTTGTGTGGTCGTACTAATAATGTGTATGCGTGACGTGTATGTGACGTCATATGGTTAAGAGGTATCTTCAGTTTTGTTACTGGCGCAGTGAAAATTGTTTTTCTAGACGCGTTTCTTATTTTGTTTTAATTATTAAAAGTTTATTTTTATTCATTTTTCATTTTTTGAATGTGTTCTTTATATTTATTTATATTTAATATAATTTGAATCGTTGAAATTGTTTTATTTTTAATGTTAATTTATGCCATAAATAGTTATTTTAAATTAATTAACACAAGAAAAATATTTTTTTTCAGATTCTATGAACCACGATTTAAAGAAAAACAAAATGAAATTATGACCGAATAGGCCAAATACCGAAGAACCGAAACGAAATGGGTCATCACAAGTCCTTGATTCTAACATTTTTCATTATATTGTGGGGCTTTGCCAAGTTTTCGATTCCGATATCCACACGAAACGAAATGGCTTTGACATTTGAATTTGAAGAAGAGTTACCACTACAATCGCATATCGGAGATGTGCTAAATCAATTAAGGAAATCCTACACTAATCCTAATTTAAATTTTAAATTTCAAATCTTGCAAGATTCCAATCATTCTTCGCTATTTGCGATCGATAATTCAAAAGGCGTCCTAAGAACAGTAGGAAGGATCGATCGAGAAACTATTTGCCCATCTTTTACCGACGATACGTGCACAGTGAATTTAAAAATAATCGTATCCGGCTCGACTAACCCTTTCATCGTAGAGGTAGAGCTCGTAATTACCGACATAAACGATCACACACCAACCTTCAACTCGAATGTCATGGACATATCGGTATTCGAGAACGCTCCTCTCGGCAGCATGTTCCCCATACCGATCGCCATCGACCACGACAGCAGGCAGAACTCGGTACGGTTTTACGAGTTGCTGAACGCTTCATACGTACCATTTTCATTAGAGCAAGACGAACATAAATATACCGGTCGGATAAATTCGATTCAGGACAGTTCTCTCTCGTTGAAACTCGAGCAACTTTTAGATAGAGAATCTGTCGAAACTATACAATTAATGATAACGGCGGTAGATGGAGGGATGTCACCTAGAACCGGTACGTTGATAATTAACGTTAATGTACAAGACATCAACGATAACAAACCGATATTCGAACGGTATCAGTACAACATCAGTTTAGATGAAGAAACTTCTTATAGAAAACCGGTTTTAAAAGTTCGTGCCACCGATGGCGACGCTGGAGTGAATGGAAAAGTGATGTACGAATTGTCGCGGCCAAGTCAAACATTGTATAGTTCACTTTTTAAAATTAACGCAGAATCTGGCGAGTTAACAGTAAAAAGTAAACTCGATTTCGAATCGAGACCCTCGTACACAATTGAAGTAATAGCGAGGGATGGGGGTGTCAACCAGCTAACCGGTATTACGCTAATCCAGGTAACGGTCATCGATCTGAACGATAATTCTCCGACAATTTCGCTAACTTCAATCGACGGCAACCAAACGAATCGAATAATCGTCGGCGAGAATTTGGAACATCCCTACACATTTGCCTTTATAAGCGTCAAAGATTTAGATGTTGGCCTGAACGGTGTATGTCAATGCAGGCTTGAAACGTTCTCCGAAACCTTCAACTTGGCCCATCTCTACGAAACTATCTATTCTCTGGGAACAAAAACAAAACTGGATCGAGAAAATGTTGCGTCGTATCACGTGATTGTAACCTGCTGGGATGCTGGTAGACCTTCACAAAACTCGTCCTTGCAAATTTTAGTCGAGGTTTCCGATGAAAACGACAACGCCCCCTACTTCGTCAAGCACTCATTCCAGGCCCGAGTTGATGAGAACAGCAAGGAATCAACGGCAATAACGCGAATTTCAGCCTACGATCTAGACGTTGGCGCCAACGCTGAAACTAGATACAAGATACAGAATGATACGGTATCTAATTTGAATTACGTCAAACTTGATGAGGTCACTGGATGGTTAACAGCTGGCGCTCGGCAGTTTGATCATGAAGATTTCAAAAAGTTTAATTTTACAGTAGTGGCATTTAACGTTCAAAATCCTGCCTTATACTCCCTTGCAGATGTCAGCATCGAGATAATAGATTTAAATGATCAGCCTCCGATTTTTGAAAGTGATGTGATAAAATATCGAATTTTAGAGAACCAAACCGTCGGTATTTCGATATCAACAATCGAGACAATTGATTTAGACCAAGATGAAAAATTTCAACAGTCTAAATACCGTTTGTCATGCTGTGACGATTACAACGATTACGAGTCTTCCTGCTATTTTGAAAAATCGATCGACAAAAATACGGTGCTGTACAGTGCTAACATTTTGAAAGAATATTTCGAATCGAATATTTTATCGGATCTCGTAACTATCGACGAATTAACGGGAGAACTAAAAAGTAACGCGATATTTGATAGAGAACGAGATTCGACGATTAATTTTTGTATCATCGCAACTAATCTAGCACATCCTTACTTCAGCTCAACAGCTCAGGTTACTATAGAGATAGATGACGTCAACGACAATCCACCAATCATCGTCTTTCCTAAATTTGATTACATCTTAGAGGTGTCTTCATGGACAGAGGAAAATGAAATTCTCATGAAAATATTCGCCGAAGATCCGGATAAAAACGAGACCAACTCTCTACTATCGTATCATCCGATTTTCAGTATTGAAGATAAAGAGAACAGGAATGTAACAATAGCTAACCACGATGTTTTAAACAACAACGAAGACGACGAATTAAAACCCACAAACCTAAACCTAAACGTTAACGATCTATTCGCTATTAATCGATACACCGGAGAAATACGGTTAACGCGGTTTTTAAGGGATACCGACTTTTGGAACAACTGCACATTCATATTCCGGTTTAGCGTCAACGATTCCGGCAGTCCCAATCAGAAGACGGAAGGAAGTTTCACGATCCACATTCACTCCGATGAGGATTTCAAATTGAGAGATTTTCGTCGGCAGAATCATTTTTCAAAATTTGTAAATAATTACAAAAATTTGTTCCTATTATTAGTTTTGTGTTCGTCTTCGTTTCTGCTAATCGTCGTACTGACAATTACGATCTGCTACACAAAATGGCGAATGAGAAAAAGTCGTCGCCCATTGAAAGAATCGAAAATCCCGCCAGCTGTTTACTTGGTAAACATAGCGGAAAAGGAAATCCAAGAAAAACATCCGGTTAAGAAGAAGTTAGAAAACTTGGAGCAGTCTCCGTATCCTACGAAAAGATACAACGAAAATAATAACAATCAATTGACCAGTTTTTTTCCCAGTAACACTCAAGTTAGATGATTGGTCGATTGATTGGTCGATTGATTGGTCGATTGATTGGTCGATTGATTGATTGATTGATTGAGTGATTAATTCATTTAGGTGGTTCATCAATCATTTATTGGTTGATGTGGTTTTTTTTAAAGGAATCTTACTATGAATATTTAATTATGAGTTTAATTTAAAAAAGTTGTTCTTTGAACATTAAAAAACTAACCCCACACCCCCAGCAGAACGCTTACGAACGCAGCAGTAACCACACCGGCTACCGACCGCACTACCGCCACCAACTTCAAAATAGCCCATCCTCAGATAGCGG